ATTTTTTACAGATAAGTGCAAAAAAGTAGGCTTATGTTGTATATCAATGAAATTAACGAAATACGGCTTTGTGTGCATGTTATATATTAGTATAACGCTTTTTGAAAAGTACAGATTAATGGTGACAGTGATATGGGTGCAATGTTCGCACACTTGTTGATAAGCTCAGCTCGAGGATATTTTGATGGTCATTTATCATGATTTTTTTGATAAATTGGTCTGGCTATTTCTTTCGGTTTCAGCTAATTTCCATTATTTGCACCAAAATTGCATAGTTATCACATACGCTTTAATTATGTATTGCTTTTCAGTTTTATCTGTTTATCAGTTTATTTGCATTTCTGTTTCTTGTTGTCCATCGCCATGGTGCTGGAAATTCTGACTTCACGATTGGCCTCCTGGCCGGAACCACTACTCATTTTTCGCTCAGCAGAATTTAATACAGCTCTATCGTTATCACTGGCGTTGCTTCTAACTATTTACGGTTTTGCCGTCACTCAATCAGCACCTGTGGTGCGTTTGCACTTGTTAGCAAATATTTTTTTTTTTAATTTTTTTGCTTGTTGATCAGGGTTGGTGCTCAGTACATGGCAAGGAGTGCTGGAAAAGGTTGTCTTACCAAGTGTTAGTGTGGGAGGATTGTTGAGTTGGTAATCCTTGATTGAACTGAATTGTCAGGGTTGTCAGCATGCTGACGAAATAGTCCGTGGTAGCCTTGGTACAGCAACCTTGGTCAAAACGTCTGAAAAAATTGTCAGTTGCATTGCTGAAGAACGAGTCTATGAAATACAGCCTATTTGAGTACACTAAGTAGTCTGCATTTTCTTAGAAAACGGAGGAAGAGCAGAAAGCGATACATCAAAACACAGAATTGAATTTTTACAAAAAAGAAGAATCATAATGTTTGTATATAACTGCATTTTGTAAACTGGAATAAACTTCCTAGGCTCTATAACCAATAATTTGATTGCGGCAACCCAAATACTCCACATTCATTGTGAAGTGATTATCTCTCTGAAAGTTCATTAATAATATGCGAAATATTTCAGGTAAATCGGGTAAATGTTGGGATCCAGAATCTCCCAGAATCGTTACATGGATTCACAATTGTTTTGCTAGCAGATATTCATGTGGGTCCCACCGTCGGTCGTAAACGTGTTGAAGAAATTGTCGCAAAAACGAATGCTTTACAACCGGATATGGTCGCTATTGCGGGTGATTTAGTTGATGGATTTCTTCCAAATTTGGCACCTCGAGTAATGCCATTGGTTAATCTGAAATCAAAATACGGAACATACTTTGCTACGGGTTTGTGAATATTTTTTTTTTTTGCAGATTCTCATTTGTTTCCAATTCCGCTAAAGTGTTAGACACCCTTTGAATTTGTTCAGCAAATATGAAAAAATAATGATAAAAATGGTACGCTAAGGACGTTTTGTTGTGAGTCTAGCATATCAGTCTAAAAGACATCAAAAAACTACAGCGAGCGTTCTTTGTATCCACTTTTTTTGCGTTTTTGCCATGCAGCACTAAAGCGCTGCAACAGGCAGCAAAAACGCATATTACAGCGACCCTGTTGATGTGTGTGTGTTTGTGTGTGTGTTCGTCTGTTCGTCTGTTCGGGTATTTCAACTCGCCAGCCACGTAAGTTTTGAAGCTGAAATTTTGCTAATGTGTTCCTCGGCCAAGTGCTACCTCAGAATTCAACCGTCACGTACGTCTGGGCTCGGCGTACGACTACGTGAAAATTTTGGCGAAAAAATTGCTAACTCGAGAAAGAGAAGATCTAGAAAGCTGAAACTCTAGAGGACTGTTTCCTACTCATGTATGATCAAAAGACTTCAAATTCAGCTCCCCGGAGCAGTCCGGGGCTCACATACGGGCGTGTGAATTGAAATAGAAAGTTGTTGGCCCGCGAAAAAGGTCCTACTAAAAGAGTTAAATTTGAAATTATTTAAACGGAAGATTGCTAACTCGGGAAAGAGAAAGGCTGGAAGGCTTCAATTTTAAGGGAATGTTCCCTACTCATGTGCGAGTAAATGATTTCAAATTTAACTCTTCTAGCAGGGCCTTTTTCGCGGACCAACAACTTTCTATTTGTTGGATCACTGGAGTCGACATCTACAAATGACATGCCACATAGCTGCACAATCAACTTCCTGAACTTCGAGGGTCAGTATGTCACAGAGCTAGCTCCTGTGATGACCTTGCGACGGCACGAATAGTGCAAAAACGCATGATCACACCGTCTCGCCTGGTGCGTTCCAGCTTGGGTTATGAAAAGCGACGACATTCGAAGGAGTGTGATTGGTAGCATCTATCAACGGAAATCACTGGCTAGCAGGGCTGTCGATGGTTCATTCTTCTGAGAGTTGTTTAGAAATAAGTTTGTATCATTTTTCTCTCTGCAAGATTATTAGTTGGGCGAAAAAGAACTCATTGCCCTGTGCATTTTGTTACCTTTGGAATTTTCTGTTTAGCCCAAAACTAAATAAGTATACATGACAATGGTTTCCATGCTATCGCATTTCAGTAAATATTTTGAATCCCGCAACGATGATCTGAGGATTAAGATTATCTGGTGATTACTATTCTTTTAGTTGCTGAAATGATTTAATCTAGTGTTTGGGAATGATGACAGTTTGACTGTTTTTAGAAGAATCATTTTGACGGTAGTAGTAGCGTTAGTATTACGTTCCAACAGTTTTTATGCGTTTTTGCTGTGCAGCCTGTAAAGAGCCAGCAAAAACGCATGTTAAGAGGTCGTCTCTTTGCGTGTGTGCGTGCGGAAAGCGAGTGCATTTTGTCACCCACTTTCATCTCAGCAACCAGGAAAGCTGGGAGACTGA